ATAATAATAATAATAATAATAATAATAATAATAATAATAATAATAATAATAATAAGAATAATAATAAGAATAGATAATATAACGTAATGCTACTTTTGTCTTTGACAGTCGCACCCGTCTGGAGTAACTGTCCTTCAAATATAAATATCAACACTGATGATGGGACGTCATCGGGTACAGCAAGTTGGACAGAACCAATCGTGTCCGATGATATGACTTCTGAAGGTGATCTTGCTATTGTCGTGTTATATGATTCAGCAATACAAACATATCCTCCGACATCGTTTAGCTTTGGCATAGGGACAACAGAGGTTAGATATCAAGCGACAGACGACGAAAACTCTCCTCTGACCGGAGTATGTACATTCTCAGTGATAGTTACAGGTAAGGCCGAGGCATCTTTACCAATTCTTTTGCCAATTCACAACAGTACTCGACAGGGGTGAGGAAAGGGCTCCCCCTCATCGTCGGGGGAAAACAATTCATCGAGAAGAAACAAATGTACTGTATAATACATGTCTCCCTTGAAATTAAAGAACACTTTTTGGACCCGGGTTTTAGTAAGTCCTTAGCAGCTTTAGTCTCTAATTAGAATCCTCTAATTAAAGACCGTTAATAAAAGTGATCTTTAAATATCTCTATAGGAAAATTAAGAAATTATATAACAAATGTACGATTGTTTTATTCTAAATGTTTTAAAATGTATATTGCTGTTATTAACCATTTCTCGGTAGTCACCCATTAAGTCCTGCACTCGTTTTTCCCAAATCTCCATTACAATTATTACTAACAACGCCGTCCTACTAAAACTATAAATAAGCCTATCCATTATAAAGGACAGTATACACAAAACATCATATGTTGAGTATAATTTGATGTATAATATAACTAATTTAGGTACCGTACACCATGGAAGGGAGAGAAAGAAGGCAGGCTTGATTGTTCTTGTTCATAAGACGGAAAATATTCGTTGATGAAAGGAACATATAAATCGAATAATAGTAGTATGATTAAGTTGGTGACAACTTTACTATTATGAAAATGGTGTGGTGAATAAGTTAATGACAATTAATGACTATGTTGGTCGAGATGATGTTCATGATGATGACACTTTTAATGACACAATGATAAGATAAAAATAGTATTATTATTATTATTATGCTTTGATCACCATACTATTTCATTTCATTTCAATCATTTATTTCAAAATCAACTCAACATACAATTAAAGAAAATAAACATTACGTATTATAGTATAAAGTCGAAATACTTATGTTATGTCAATTAAGTTAAACAAATCAAATATCAGAGTATGTATCATTGAAAATGAAAATGGGATAAGCAAAATAGGCAAATGAACAACAAATGCCTTAACTCATATTCTTCTTAATAAAAAATAAAAGAAAGATAATAAAAAAATAAAAAATATATATATATAAAATAAAATTTGAAGTAGTTGCATGATGTTTGTATAATAATATGCTTAGACCTAATCAAAATTTTTAAAAAGTATTCCAGAAACCATTTTGAACATAATAGGCCTACCAGTAAACACTGAAATGCTCAAAATAATATGCTCTAAACTGATACTTGCTTATCGATATCATCTTGAGTATGTCCTACACAAAAGGAGTGATTTACATTTTCACCTCTCCCTGTATAATGGATCAAAGTAAATATTGTCTATATTATTTACAGTATCTAGTTCTGTACAGTTGTTAAGTAATTGAATATCTGACGACAACCCAGGTCGCATTCTTGTATTTGTTAGAGATGAATTATATTATTTGTATAGGTGTGTCAGTTGTTTGTTACAATGCATATATACAACCCACTAAACACAGAAGCAATCAAAGTATTGTAACAGATCTTAACTGACATCGAGGAAGGTTTTTATTTAACTGAATTATTGTCAAAATTTAGTCTCCGACTAGCGCCATACTTTTTTCCTGGTGAAATAAATGATATGATATAAAACGTTGGCGTGGTTGGGCATCGCTCAAAATCTTTCGAAAGTGGTCCCGAGAGAAAACCCCCCGCAAAATATGACAATTTAGGAATTTCTAAAGCTTATTTAATCGATTTTAGAGTATAATAATATATAAACATAGCCTACATATATTTTTCCCTTGACGAACTTTGGTTTTTCTCCCCACCGGAAAGGGGAGGGGGGGGGGGGTAGAAGCTGTCCCTAAGAGGGGTTGTCCCCAGGCCCCACTGGCGCCACCCCTGTAAAGCATAACTATAAGTCGTTACAATTTTATTTTATTATTGCCTATTGTGCTTGCTATTAGCATAACTAACATTGTTTTTAGTACCGATCCTAATTCACAGAACAAAACTATTATATAGGCCTATGTTAACTACGGTATGAAAGCTATGATCAGTTTAGGAAAATAACATGTAACATTTATTACTATCATTACATTTTTGTATGATAATAAATATTTTACACTTGAAAACGTATGTCTTCATCGGGATTTAAACTCATTACCTTGCGATCAGCATTCTGATGGTCTACCAACTGAGCTATGATAAGCCCAAGTGGTAAAAAAAACACCCTTGGATTTTCCTATTATGACACGTGTTTTTTTTTATCCAGGTATTGAGTAATGAGTAAATACCGTAGTAAATCCCATTGTAGTAATTTTGATATGGAGATACAGCAGATTCTTGTACGTTTGGATTGATTTACTATTAAGAAAGCCAAAAATCTACATTATAATTGTTATTGATTTTAAGATTATTATACCTAGGCCTAACTTTCGTATTATTATACTGTGTAATTTTACGCTAACGTTTAATAATATAGACAGGTTTAGATTTGAATTGAAATGTCTTTTCCGTTTAAACTGATGCTGGTGATTTCACATCACAAAAACGGTGAAAAGAAGTAACAAGTTTATTTCACTATTTCGTTATAATTAAATTTTCACTTCATTAAACATGGACAAAACACTAAGCTTTATGGTTCAACAATTATACGGCGCTTGCAGTGTTCGGTCTTTTATCATGCCAACCGTGCATTGAGGTCAATATCTTGTAAAAAAATGAAAATAGCATCCTGGTTTTCCTTTTGAAACAACAGTATCCCATACAGGACATAATTGTAGACAAGTTACATTGAAAGCGATGAATGTTTGATTTTAAATTGCTTTTTAAATTTTTATCATACTTTTAAAAGATTAGTTTTGACAATATTTTGATTTCTTTTTGTTTTATTTCACTTGTGGTCAACAGTAACGTATTACACTTGAATTATTATGTCGGCCAAATTTTTTGAGAGAAGTCAAGTCAGCTGACTACTGTGTATTTATTTATTTATTGGTTCACGCCTTTATAACAGAGGAACACTCTCTAAAGGAGAGAATCGACCCATACAAGCATAGATACATACAAGCAGACAGTGGCTCCTTTACCAATTACTTCCATAATAAGTTATCGGCATCTATTTTGTGGGGGTGAGCAGGGGCGGATACACAGATGTCTAAAAGGGGGGTCGAAGTTAGGACGATCGTGACATGCCCCCGTGAACCTTTTGTGTTCTATACGCCCGAAAATAACATTTGAGGCGTTCTGGGCTATCATTTATTTCTTTTTCTTTTTTTTTTTTTAACCTCCCAAAAGCCTCCATAAATCCGCCCCTGGTGAGGATGATGGGTAGGCCTACGTCTCCAAAAAAGCCATTTCATGTGACCTAGAAGACAGTACATAGTAATTTAATTTAGTGCGACTAAATCTGCAGCATAAACCCAAGCCGAAGCCATTAAAAGTACAATTGTTATATTTATTCTCCATCAAATATACAACTTGTATTTATATGTTATAATTATATGTAGCCTTATATGATATATTTCTCTGTTAATTATTATATTACTAACTCTCCTCAACAACCAGGCCTAATTTTATTAGGTAATACTATCTGCTTTTTCATTATTATATTTTAGTTCTTATATTAATTTTCTAATAACAATATTTGGGTTTTTGATTTTTAAAGATAACGAAGCGCCGGTGATATCGAATTGCCCGACAGCAGAAATAATAGAAGTAACTGATGTAGGTGAAAATGATAAAGTAGTGACGTGGACTGCTACGTCAGCTAACGACAATTCTGGTTCAGATGTCAGTAAAATTCAAAGCACAGCTGAACCTGGCGATGTATTTGAAATCGGAACTACACTAGTTACCATTACTTACCAGGATCCTTACGGAAACCTAGCTGAGTGTATCTTCAATGTTACAATTCTAGGCAGGTTGCAGTTCTTTTTTCTACTACTTTTCGTATTTTAACAATAAACAATATGCTTACATATTTTCTTTTCTCATTCATCTTATACTTACTCGTGCGATTTGTATTGGCAAAAGTTTCACATGGGTCAATTAATGTATTGACACAGTAAATGATTATGTTAAATTGATTTGGGTCATAAAAGCACTGAAAATTATAGAAAAGGGTAGCGAATCAACAAGGTTTTCAGATAATATATATTTTGTCCTGATGAAAAAAAACAGGCATTAAATTGCATACGGTAGTTTACCATAAGCCATAGCAAGCTTCTGATGTTTACGTGTAGCTGGCTTTATTTTTGCTTTGCTTTACATTAATTTTATATTGTTTATTTTTATTTTGTTCATGCTTTAACACAGCCCTAACATTGCTACTTATGCTAAAAGAAAGCAATGGATGAGGTTAAACAGTGGTGCCTGAATTAAATTTTTGAGGGCGCTCTTGTTCTTTTATAACAGACCAAGAAGATCCAGAAGTATTTAATTGCCCAGAGAGTAACACAGAGATCATTGACCAATCTATTAATTCTTCGACAAGTACTTGGTTTCTACCAACATTCACTGACAACGACGAAGTTTCAACTACGGTTTCAAACTATGAACCTGGTGATTCGTTTAATGTCGGAATTACGGAAGTGGTGTATACAGCCACAGATCCTTCTGGCAATGAAAGAAATTGTTCATTCAATATAACAGTTTTACAAGGTATTTCAGTATTTTATATTCTTATAGGTACTGTATACTGAAATTGTACTAAGTTGCAAAAACTTACTTTTTATGAAGAAAGAAAACAATTGAATTCCACGTTATACTAAAGGGAACAAGATACTACAGATAATACACCAAAAAACAAAAGGAATGTAAGCTTAGATTTAATTGGATTCACACATTTTAAACCTGGGCCTATTTCATTTTTGTCAGAATACATGTTTATAGAAATATCTTTATCTACAGAGCATCTTTCATTACATATTTTCATTCTACAAATGAACAAAAATATATTAATATGAAAATGTAGAAAATTCTTTGTAATAATAGACCTACACATTTTTTTCCCTTAAACTCTTTGTATAGATAAGGAACCACCAGTATTTAGTTATTGTCCGAATGATACCATCGTATCGACACTTCCTGGCGTGAATTATACAGTTGTAAATTGGACATCACCAATTGCGTCTGATGACGTACAGTTGGCCTCTGTTCGTCAAGCATCTACAGACTACTCGACAACTGGTGAACGATTTTATATTGGACCTACGCAGATACGTTACATTGCTGTAGATGTGCTTGCAAAGACCTCCCAGTGTATATTCGATATCATCGTAAATGGTTGGTTTTTTTTTTTTTTTTTTTTTTTTTTTTTTTTTTTTTTTTTTTTTTTTTTTTTTTTTATTGGGATAACCCATAAAACAGCAAACGGTCATATAATGCAAAACAATTTAAAATTAATATTAAAACGGAACAGTAGAGAAAATCCGATCAGAATGACAAAATAAACTAAGTATCCACTGGAAGGAATCCCAATATCTGCAGACGGATCCGTTTCGGCCTTCTAGGCCTCATCAGTGCAGCTAGGGTACAAA